AAGTAAAGCTGTCTAGAAATACGAAAATGGTTATAGAAACAGCCTGTTCCAATGTGATGAAAAAGCTTAATCTTAGGTAAGGTTTTTCGATAAACCATTAAGGGGTGTACTGTTATTAATGAACAAATTTGCCACGCGGCTAACTCGTGAATACTCAGATTTTTCAGTTTGTAGTTTGAACTACTCGAACTCGGTATCGCTATTTGTGTGTAAGATGACAGAATAAATGGTCCTTCGAATAGAAGTAGTGTGCCATCACTCTAATCCCATATAAGCAACTATTGTAAAGTTTGTTTCGCGTTAACATGTCATTCATGTGAACTGATTTCTGAAATTGGATCGGCTTAGGCCCTCATTAATTATGTACTATGTTACTATGTATGATGGGAGGCCATAATAACGCAAATTATTATTACACACGCACTATCATTGCTTATTCAAAATTAAAAACAGGCAAATAATGTTAATTTATCCATGAATACATGAATAAACTGAATACATGCTTTTTCGGATTTTTTTTAAAGGCTATTTTTACTTAGACCTTCCAAGTGCACCGTCATTAAGTGCACCGTGCAGAAGCCATTATCTTGATCAATACTGTTGTCTTGTTCTACTTTACATACACTAGACCTTGTATAGTATTGGTTACAAGTGCATGGTGTAGAAGCCATTATCTTGATCAATACTGTTGTCTTGTTCTACTTTACATACAGTAGTTGTATAGTATTGGTTACAAGTGCATCGTGTAGAAGCCATTATCTTGATCAATACTGTTGTCTTGTTMTACTTTACATACACTAGACCTTGTTAATAGTATTGGTTACAAGTGCATGGTGTAGAAGCCATTATCTTGATCAATACTGTTGTCTTTTTCTACTTTACATACACTAGACCTTGCAAGTTGGGATAAATACCATTGGTTACACTGTAAGCATAGAGGGCTCGGTGAGCTGAAAAAATGGATAAAATTTAAAATCATTTATTGATAAAAGTCCCATTTGGGGTCCCTCCTCCATAGGTAATAAATTTTCATATGTAATAAATTATCATATGTAATAAATTATCATATGTAATAAATTATCATATGTAATTTCGTATCTCTGCGCGCCCATGTAATATCCTCTATGTATGTCATACATTCTCACATGTAATAAATTATCATAGGTAATAAATTATCATAGGTAATAAATTATCATAGGTAATAAATTATCATAGGTAATAAATTATCATAGGTAATAAATTATCATAGGTAGTAAATTATCATAGGTAATAAATTA